TGGGAAGATGATGAATGACCACAGTTGCAAGACCAGGTATCGTTCTATATTAACACTTAGTATTGGAAATTGTTAGCTGCATCATGCTCCAGAAATATTTCTCACATCCCCAGTCATATTCAGCAGCAATAATGTAGACTTGTATGAAGGCTATTACAAATTCAGGACTGTTTTCAATGTCTTGTTAACCCCCAAAATATTCCTTTTTGCTCTGGTTCAACAGTTGGTGTCTTTCAGATGTTGACCTTGCCAATGGTCATAAAGGCACACATTTCATTAGCTTCATTTATCTTTCTGTACAGAAGGCAAAATAATGAACTCACAATGCCATTTTTATTTTGGTACACTGCCTTATTTGCACAAGCATTAATCTTTCTCTTCAATTGCTGGATTTAAGAAACATGTGCCTTGCATTCTGACCTTCAGCCAAGGGCAGAACCTCCTCTTCCTGAGTCTTTTGTTTTGTACAGTTGGCTTTGAGTCGACTGACTATCCCAGCCACTTAAGAGCAGTACCATTGGCATTACATGACAATGAGTCCACACTGAGTTCAAAAGAACAGTTTCACAGAGAAACAGGTGTAAACAATTACTGGAATGGTAGTGTCCCTTCCTCTGAGACAGAGACCCAGGCTCAAGTCCCAACTGCACCACAAGTGTGCAATAACGTCTCTCAACAGGTTGATTAAAAAAATGTTTCATTGCCCGAGGGTTTTTGACCACAGCGGTAGTAGCCCTATCTCTCAGCTCGGAATTCTGTGTTCACATCCCACCTGCTCCACTGGACAGGTTGATTAGAAAATATATTTAATTGATCTGTAGCATATTATGAGTTAAGATGGGGTGTCTGAACCAATAGCGATTAAATCAGCATTTTGATTCTGCACAAATGACACACATCTCAAAACGGGATACTTTCTGAATAATATCAAAATGGGCCCAATCTAAAGCATGTTTGCCACTGCACCGTCATTCACGCTGGTAGATTTTGAATTTGACACAGGAATGGCATCGCCCAGCTAGGTCAACTTTTCGAGAATGAGCAGATTACCCCTCAGACCATCAGATGGAGTTAGGCCATTTGGCCCATTGAGTCTGCCTTGCCATTTGATCATGGGTGATATGTTTCTCAACCCCATTCTCCAGTCTTCTCCCTGTAACCCTTGATCCCTTTACCAATCAAGGACCTATCTCCATCCTAAATACACTCAATGAACTTGATATACACAGCCTTCTGCAACAATGAGTTTCACAGGTTAACCACCTGCTGGCTGAGGAAATTCCTCCTCATTTCAGCTCTGAAGGGTCAGCCCTTCACTCAGAAGCTGTGCCTTCAGGTCCTAGTCTAGTCTAGGACTGGAAATATCTTCTCAGCATCCACTCTATCCAGGCCTCTCAGTATTCTGTAAGTTTCAATGAGATTCCTCCTCATTCTTTTAAACTCCATCAAGTACACACTCAGAGTTCTCAACTGCTCCTCATATGGCAAGTCCTTCATCCCCAGGATCATACTTGTAACCTCCTCTGGACACCCTCCAATATCCTTCCCGAGATACAGGGCCCAAAACTGCTCACAGCATTCCAAATGCGGTTGGACTGGAGCCTTTTTACAGTCTCAGCAGTACATCTCTGCTCTTGTATTCTAGACCTCTTGAAATGAATGCCAACATTGCATTTGCCTTCCTAACTGAATCTGTATGTTAACCTTAAGAGAATCCTGAACTAAGACTCCCTAGTCCCATTGTGCTTCATATTTCTGATGTCTTTCCCCATTTAGAAAATAGTCTCTATCTCTTCTTCCTAACAAAGTGCAAAAGCTCACACTTGGTCATATTGTAATCCATCTGCCAACTTTCTTCCCCCACCTCTCCTAACCTGTCCAAGTTCTTCATCAGCCTTTCCACTTCCTCAACACTACCTATCTTTCTGTCATCTGCAAAGTGAGCAACAATGCCCATTCCAACAAGTTGGTGAGCAAATTCCACCTTTACTACCTGCAAAACAAATACTTCCTACATGTTACAACATTGGATTCCAATCCAAAGACAAGAGAAAAATTGAAGACAATATGCAAATCAATTTAGTTCTTGAGTCATAGAGCATGGAAACAGGCCCTTTGGCCCAACTCGTCCATATTGACCCAGTTTCCTAAACTGAACTAATACCACTTGCCTTACTGTGGTCCATATCCCTCTGAACCTTTCCTATCCATATAGGTGTTCAAATATCTTTTAAATGTTGTAATTATACCCATGCCCATCACTTCCTCTGGCAGCTCATTTCTGTGCAAAAGTTGCCCCTTAGGTCCCTTTTAAATCTCTTCCCTCTCACCTATGCCATCTAGTTTTGGACGCCACTACTCCAGGGAATAGACCTTGGCTCTTCACCTTATCTATGCCCCTCATGATATCATAAACCTCTAGAAGGTCACCCATCAGCCTCCAATGCTCCTAACCTATCCAGCCTCTCCCCTTAATTCAAACCTTCCAGTCTCAGGAACATTGAGATAGGGCAAAAAGACAAAATGGAGACTGACGCAGAAACAGAAACACAACTATCAATTGCGGCTGAATGCAATAGAATTAGTTTGAGATATTCATCGATGTCACCCCACAGATATTCCACAAACTCTACCCTTTCCCTGGAAGATGAATGTTTAAGGGAATACAATCAGAACTGCATAGTGTAGTTATCATGGTTATGCCCAGTGGTCAGATATCCTGGACAGCAGGCCAGGGGCAAAGAAAAACTACAATAAAATTCACATTTCTTGCAGCTTATGCCTTTTGGGTCTACTAGTGAAGAACTTCCCAACAACTCCTGATCCTCTTTGTATACATAGTGGAAACTGTATTTTAATGCCAAAAAATGTGACGGATAACAAACAGAATTTCTACAAAGGAACAAACTTGGATTATAAACCCAAAACAACATTTTAGGGCAGCCTAAATAAAAAATAATTCAGGACTATTCAATGATTAATGCATGGTAGTACTCCTAGACAAATTCCTTATCCATTAATTAAATTTAACTCCCATAAAAGTGTTCTAAAAATCATAAATTTAATTCTGCAAATCTTACCTTTAGAAGAGGGTGAATTTTGTCAACAGGCAACAAAAGAGGATTTCTACGTTTACGTTTTTCTATGGCTGATTGAGCATCGGCTATGGCCCATTTGTCAATTGGATGTGGAAATGATTTCTGCACACGTTCCTAGAAAGAGATTTTTAATAAAGCTGTATTCTGTGATTTCAGTTATTAGTCACTTGCACATTACTGATATTTATTTACATATTCAAATGTTAATTTATGCAGAATACTAATTTGAAAATTTTAATATTCATCTCAACAAGCCATCCTTCCCTGCACATGAATACTCAGGGGCCAGTTCCCTGATGTTTCAAGAAAATTTCCTTGCACTGCCTAAACAATATTGATCAAATTTGTGACAATACTAAATCAGACAGATATAATGTGGACAGGAACAAGCATAGAAGCAGGGAAGTTTAAGCCCAATGACAATGTAGTGCTAAATAGTCATTTGATAGTACAGAACACAAGTATTATTGAAAAAATACGTTCTGTCAAAGCTTCTCATCTTGTACTCTTCAGGATAGATCAACCTGCCTGATTCAAAATTTAAACAAAGCCTGACTGTTAAAGGTCAATCAGCACAAATCGTTGAATTCTCCATGGCAATGCCACTGCCTCTCAGTGCACACTTTGCCAACCAATCAGCACTCTCCTCTCAAGCAGTATAAATGTTAGTTTTCTCTTTGAATTTGTGCTCTTGCAAAATGCTCTGTTGAGTGGATGACAAAAGTGACTTTTCTCCGCAATGTTGCTAAATACTACCAAGCTCAAAGTCAACCTTTTGGGAATTAACTTCACATAGCCTCCAGGTTATGACTTTGGATTCAGTCTGCACGTTTGTTACAGCTACTGCATTGATACAATAAATACAAATTAAAATCGACAATGGTGATAAATTCATAAATTATGGCACATACAGTAACTTCTCGAATAATGAAACACAATCTTATAGAATTTGGAGGAAAAAATGGCAAATTGTCTTCAGAAGGTCTCACATCTGCTATGAATTGATACTATTCTGAAAGCATCTGATCAGTGAAATAAACGTTAATAAGTAGTACAGTCAAAATAAATATGCGACCGACGCTGAACTCTATTACATCTTCAAGATGAGGCATTTTGAATCAAATGCTGACGCAGCATGTCTCAAGAGGAATGTTTGGCTCTAGTACAAGTAACTGTATTCTTAAATAAGCAGATGTTTCTTCTTGGATGTATGAACTATTTTAAATAGTAATATATGTAGCAATTAACCGATTTGTTGGGTTAAACCAGGATTGCTACATAATCATAGCTTCAGATATGTTAAAACCTCTCTGAAACCCCAGCACATTCCAAGCTTCATGGTATCATGCAATTCTCATTGCCAGCAGACCACTGTGCATTTCAACCATTAACTGCAGAAACCATACATCTAATGAAACATTTGTACCTTAACATGAATCTAGATAATCCCAAAACATAATTGAAATTATGCTATAGCTTTGAAAATTTCAACAAAATTTGTACTTGGTTCACTGACCTAGAAAATACTGGAGAAGGCAATATATCTGATTTATTGAATTTGAGGCAGCAGCAAATTAAAGAATAACAGTTTCAGTGCAGATGTGTTTCATACAGGTCCCAATTTTTAAAAAATTAAAGGAGGGAAACAGGCAATTTATTAAGACAGCAACCTTGGTTGAAAAATGTAGTGCCTTAAGTGAAGTCATAAAAGGAAATCAAGCCTGATGAAAGATCATAATAGTTAAATGGGAGTTAATTTGGCACTTGAGAGGAAATCCTTCAGCAGCTATTACTTAAGACAGGAAAAAGCAGAAGCAGTTAGTGTCAACAAAAATCAACAGTGATTTGGCCCTCATCACCAAGACACATTTTGGTTGTTCTCCCCAGTTCAGTGGTACTATTTCCTTCTTTGAGTATCTCACTCTGTTTCACTCCTCTCAAATCACTTTTAAAATTATCTAAGGACCGCCTAACATTCATCTCAACCTTCTCCTCAAGATGTCCCTATCTCTTTCTTCCTTCTTACTTCACATCATAGTTAGTTGACAGAACAAGTGACCATTTGGCTCATCCAGTTTGTGACAGTTCATGCATGCCTAGGTATTTCTATCCTTGTACTCACTATGGAATTGTACTCTTCAGTTTGTATTACCTCTCCTCCTCCTCCCCGCCCCCCCAGAAAAGCGAAACACTTCACATTTCTCAACATTAAATTCATCTCTATCAGACCCACCTATTCTACCAGTCCATGGCCTCCTGAAGTCTATCAACATCCAATTCTTAATTCACAATATTCTAAGATTTGCGTCATCTAAAATTTTGAAATTATGCTTTATATTCCTAAGTCCAGGTATTAACATAGATGAACAGCAGTCAATTTGAAGAACAACTGTTTACCATTATAGTTTCCTATCCCTCAGCCAACTAGATAACAGTACTGTTATCACCTCTTTCATTACATGGATTTCAAATTGCCGGTAAGCCTGACACGCAGCACTTTAATAACACCTTTGGTAAGTCGACAGAGGTGACAAAAATCACACCACACTCAAATGTGTTAAAGAAATTCAATCAAGTTAGTTGAACATAATGATGTGCCCTTAGATTTATGCTGTCTTCCCTTCAAGCGTCCATTTGTCCAAATGACCATTAAGTTGATCCTGAAATATCATTCTGAAAGCTTTCCCAGCACAGATTCAATTGATGGATCTGTAACTGTTGGATTTATAACTTTTAGGAACAAGGGTGTTAATCTTACAATTCCCCAATTCTCTCGGCTTACTTTCCAGACCTTACTAGATAGAGATTGGTCCGGGTGTTTTAACTGCTATGTAATTACACTTCCAAGATACTCAGGTGAAAGTCTTTTGTGGTGCACTGATAGTGACCCTACCTCTGAGCCAAGAGACCTGGGTTCAAGTCCCAACTGCTCAAGAGGTATGTCATAACAACTCTGAACAGGTTGATTAGGAAATATCTACTGTTGCTATCTTGGAGCCATAAGGCCCAAATTCAAATCTCACCTGCTCCAGAAGTACGCAATAATATCTCTGAACAGGCTAATTCAAATTTATTTTTGGTAGTGTCCCTAACTCTGGACCAGAAGTCCTGTATTTAAGTATGTCTGCTCTAGAGGTGTGTCAAAACAGATTGATTAAAAATGTGTAGAGGTTCCTATAGTGCAGTGGTAGTGTTCTTACATTCGAGTGAGGAGGCTCATGTTCAAATCCCACCTGCTCCAGAGACCTGTGATAACATCTCTCAACAGGTTGATTAGAAAATATCTACTCAGATGAAGGCCAATGTTTGGCTAAGTAGTATGAGTCACTTTTAAAGAATGACTTGAGTTGGCAAGTCTTGTGGTGAAGTGGTAATGTCTCTACTTCAGGACCAGAGGGTCCAGTTACAAGTCCGACTTGCTCTGGGTGTGTGTCATATCATATCCGAACAGACTGATTGAAAACATATAAAAAAGAGTGTTGGCTGGGACTGTGGGTTAACAGGCATACAGCACATAACTGTTTATTAACAGAATGCAACATTACCAGGAAAAGGATCCACGTCTAACTTCAAACAAAACCCGAAAGAACGGAGAACGCTGTAAATCAGGAACAAAAACAGAAGTTGCTGGAAAAGCTCAGCAGGTCTGGCAGCATCTGTGAAGAAAAAAA